ACGCGAAAACGGCGGTCGTTGCGCAATCGTAAGAGATAAAGAGCCGGGCGATTTTCACCCGAGTATCGGCAGTGACAACCGAAATTGGCAGTCGCGACGATTTCGAAGATATAGGGAGGCGCTCGATTCTGCGCCGATCCGTAGAATCGAGTCAAGGATAGGCGAGGAGAGAAGAGACGCGTCGCGCCGTTTCGAGCGGGTCGCGAAATAAATTATTTTTAAGCCGCCGTGTGCGTGCACGTTGGTGTATGCATGTGTGTGTGTGTGTGTGTCTCCACGAAAATAAGCGCGAGCGCTTACGTTCACCAATCGGATCGACACTTTCGCAACTGTCGGTCCGATTTTAACGGGGAACTCTCTGCAAATCGCGCACCGCGAAGAGATCAGAGACGTCTGCGAATTCCTTCGAGTTGCTTCGTAAATCGAATTAAACTCGACGAGCAATCTGATGAGTCGCGTCAAATATAAAACGACACGAAGATGAATTTCTATGCCGATCTTTCTCTTTCTGCGTGGCCATAATTTCGAGAAACGCCGAAAGTAGCCGTCAATGCGCGAACGGCGATTATGCGAACGTGTGCTCGGGCACGACGAGAAATTGGAAAGTTGTCGCGCGTGAAAATTAGGGGGTCACTGAATCCCTCCGGCGTTCTTGAAATTCTAATATCGCCGGCCGATTAACATACCGGCGACGGTTTAACGACGAAAGCAGGCCACTTGAAATTCCAAGCTTCTGTATCGATCATTTTCACGTGTCTTTCTTTCTTTCTTTCTTTCTTTCTCTCGTGAATTTCGACGTTGCACGCCATTTGCATCGTCCCGATTTGCATCCGCTCGCCGTGATCTATTATTTGAGTTCACGTGAAAGAGAAACGACGACCACAATGGTGGATAACACTGGATGAATTTTAGATTTCAGCGTCCTAAAAATAAACCGATTCTATATATATATCGAGGAGTTTCGCGAGTACACAGTTACACGCATACTAGCTCTCGCGAGTCGTTATTAACGCGTTTTCTGTTTTTGACAAATTTAAGTACATTTTTTTTTAACCGACGATCGTCACCACTGAGTATCAAAGATACAAGTCTTTCAAGATACAACCGACGAGTTTTATGAAAATCAACGACGTTGAAATTATTATTATTATTATTATTATTATTACTATTTCTATTCTGCTATTATTTTAACAGTAGAACCGAACGAAAGTGGTCGAAAGGACAAATTTATAATTTTTCTTCGATATTCTGATTTATACATTTTCTTACACTTTCACACGTCTCAGAAAAAGTGTATTTTTAAAAATTTAAATAATCTTTCATAAAATATATGAATGGAAGCTTGTGAATTCCGTTATTCAGTGTTATAAAGTTTCTCTATTTTTTTTTTTTTTTTTGTCTTCACAGTCTTAATCACCACCGGTAGTTCTAGCATAATATAGAATATCCTCGATACTGTAGATACAATCGCGATAGTAATAAACGCGCGTGAAATTCTATGAAAACACATGCTTTGATTTTTCAGTCGCAATTAACGGAGCGAGACTCCACGTGGCTCCATGCATTTTCATCAATGACTGGTACACGACTCGCTAATAACCGATGTTATTACACGTAAATACCGCGGGACTTATGTAAAAGCGGCAAGAACGGCCGAGAGACGGGCACGTTCCTTCAAATGTGAGCGCACGTTCCTTCAACTGCACTTCGAACAACATGCCTAACATGAAAAATAATTCAATATGATCAAAGCAAGAAATAAATGTAAAAATACACCGCTCACAAAAATTAGGGGATATTTCAAAATGAATGCGAGGCGATAAAAAAGAGAAGCGTTTGATTTTTCTTTACTAAACCAGAACATTAAAAAAGGCGAACAACAAGTCAGGGAAAGCTGTTCGAAAGATGTTCTTGTCTAATAAAAAAAAAAAAAAAAAAAAAAAGAAAATCAAATGCTTCCTTTTTTCTCATCGCTTCGTATTCATTTTGAAATATCATTTCCCCCAATTTTTTGTGAGCAGTGTATATATTATAATTTAACGCGTGTCCGACTCGACGAAACCTTCCACTCGCGGCTTACCACGCGCTGTTTCGCACATCCGCTTTTTTTCCCTGCTTCGCGGTTCGATCGAGCCCTCAATTTGATTAACGCCGACGCCGGCGCGGCTAGAGCGGGGGGAAAAAATTCGCGGACGGATTTCTTCGAAGCGAGCAACACGTGAATCGGAGTCGCTCGTGCGTGGATCTCGGGCTGCAAACGACGCAAGTGCACGCAACGGCAATTGTGCAAGCCGTGTCGAAACATCCGCGCCACTCTAATGCTCTAATGCTCGCGAAGCCGAGCCCCTCTGCCAAAACTGGCGTTGGTTCCACGCGCGTTTTTTGACGCCAGACGCGACGCGACGCGACGCGACGCCACAGATTCGAACGTGCTCGTTGCACGTGATCCGGTGCAACTGCAGAATGAACAGGATATCGTTCCACGAGCGTGTCGCATGCCCGTCGCGTGTAAATATTAATTCAGAACGAGCGTGCCAGCGGATGCTCTTCGACCACCCGTTTTACGCCTTATCAAACCACTTTTATCAAGATAACAGTCCGCGTCGCTTCGCATTCACCACGTACAACGATCGTGGTTGCCACGTCACGCCATCAGGTTTGACCAAGCACGCTTTTTTTTGTTCCCCTTTCCTTTTTTTTCCCTGTTTTTTTTTCTCCTTTCTACGCGAAGTGGAACACGCGCGATCGCGAGGCTTCCTTCGACTAATACCCGTACAACGATCGAATTTAAACGGCGCGACAACTTGCTTCGACTTTGCTTCGAATTAACTCGATTCCTCTTTGTTCGTGCCCGTCGCACGCGTAGACGGTGTATATACCGCGAATGTAAATGTTGCACACGAACTTGGACGAGAACGGATCCGACGAGGCTGTCGCCGTGTCAAAGTTCGCCGCACGCGTCGCTTCTCGTCGGAGGAATCGCCGAGAACGTCACTGATGAATATAACTGCGAATGGCTAAATCTAACAACAATCGTCGACACGCGTACAATAGATCTATTTCTAGTCTGACAGATTTATAAAATATAAAGTCTATTATCTAGTTAATAGATCTATGGTCTTAAGATAGCCTTGCGTCAGTAACGAGTTGTAGAAGGAACAAAGTATCGATGCTGAAGACATATAACTTTATGGTAAACAATAATTTCAGCCTTCGTCTGTATATTTTACAAAAAAAGAATGAATCACATTTACATCTCTAAAAAGCGCACTGTTTCTACGAAAATTTCTAAAAGTTGCAAATTTTAAAATTATAAGAATTATAAATTGGTTATTTCGACCAATCATGATACATAGGCTCCAGTGTTAATATCGTTAAACCAGCTTCGAAAGTTACGTGACGCACGATCGTTCGTAAAAGAACGTCACGAAGGAAATTCTTACAGGCGAGATGACGCACGTAAATGCATCGTCTGGCGAGCGTATTTAATGGAAACTCTCGAGCGGAGAATCCGTTACACCTGGCGAAGCTCGTAAAGCCGAGATACACTGCCAAACAACGCGACGATGCCAACGATCCGAGTAATTCGTCAACGACTTTAACAGGTGCATTCCTCGAGGCACGATGGAGACCACGTTTTCTGGCACGTTTTCCGTTGCTCGTTTAATACAACAGACTCATAATCAGAAACCACGAGAGTGAATGAATAGTCGACCAAACCAAACGAACGACGAATCTGTCGAAAGTCGAATGATTGGGTTCAAAGCGAACGTTGGATTTAGGTTAGGTTTCGAGTTCTTCTCATTCTGATGCGCTGAGATGGACCATTGCAGAGGTTTTTAACTGGTGAAAATTTGGCAAACAAGAATCTGTTTCTCTTCCAACAGGAGCGGGGTGTCTATGAAGATTTTCTTCCACGAAAAAAAAGTTTTAGATTTAGGTTAATATAAGTTCGACGGTACAAATTGGGTTTAGGTTAGGTTTAGATTTTGTGAGTTCGACCAGAATATCTTTAGATTAAGTTTAGGCTAGGTTTAGGTCAGATCTTGTAAATTCAATCAGGATAAAGTTAGATATTTGGTTTAGGTTAGGTTTAAGTTAAATTTTGTAAGTTCAATGAGGATAAAGTTAGATATTAGGTTTGTTTAGATTTAGGTTAAGTTTTGATGGTTAGGTTAGATTTAGGTTAAGTTTTGGTTTCGTAAATTTGACGAGAATACCTTTAGATTAGGTTTAGGCTGGATTTAGGTCAGATCTTGTAAATTTGATCAGGATAAAGTTAGACATTAGATTTAGGTTAAGTTTAAGTTAAATTCTGTAAGTTCAATCAGGATAAAGTTAAATATTTGGTTTAGGTTAGGTTTGGGTTAGGTTTGGGTTAGGTTTAAGTTAAATTTTGTAAGTTCAATCAAGATAAAGTTAGATATTAGGTTTAGATTTAGGTTTCGTAAGTTTGAGGAGAATACCTTTAGATTAGGTTTAGGCTAGATTTAGGTCAGATCTTGTAAATTCGATCAGAATAAAGTTAGATATTAGGTTCAGGTTAGATTTAAGTTAGCAAGTTCAATCAGAACAAAGTTAGATATTAGATTTAGGTTAGATTTAGGTTTCGTAAGTTTGAAGAGAATACCTTTAGATTAGATTTAGGTCAGATCTTGTAAATTCGATCAGAATAAAGTTAGGTATTAGATTTAGGTTAGGTTTAAGTTTTGTGAGTTCGACCAGGATACGTGTACGCGTCACGGCGAGTCCAATTTCGCCCACTTCCAATATCGTAATCGTCGTTTTCGAGAAACGTGACCGTCGTCGTTGGTGTCGAGACCAGCTGTTGCATCACCGCCCGATTCGAAAACGCGGAAAACCTTTCTCTACGCTGGCCTAAATACCGGTTCCTCGAGCGACGCATCTCGCTCGGTGGCCTTCTGGTTCTTCACACGTGAATCGCGTGAATGAACAAGTTTCGTACAGACTTTATGGGGCGGTCTATTTTTGAAACTCACCCTGGACACCTTCTTCTTGGTGTAAACCTCGTCATCCTCGGAGGCTGTCGCGAAATTCAAGTTCCCCTCGCAATATCCAGCGCCTATTCCCATCCTGTATATTTCGTCCTTGCAAGATCTACCATCCAGACTGCGAACAAAAAATTACATTCATTTATATCGACGTACAATTAATTTTTTAATCGTCTCGCAACGATCGGCGAACGCTCGTTCTCCTCGAGGAAATTTCCTACAATTTATCACAAAGATCAATTAATTCACTAAGGATTCCTCCGCTTATTGCGTTTGAAAACCAAAGTGCCAGTAAAGTGATCGAAATGACTGATTTATAACTTGTAATTTTATATATTTATACATTTGCAGCGTATTTTTAGAGACTTGAACGGTTTTTAATGAATTATACAGTGTGTCTCGTACAATTGAGTGACAAAGGAAGAATGAAAACGAATTTCCTTGTTTGAGGTAGCAAGTATATTTAATTCAGTTTGTTGCTTTCTTTTTTGTATTCTACATGCAAATGCCCAATAAAATATTATTATTATATATAATAAAATATTATATATAACAATAATATATTATTAATAAAATTTCACTGTGTGTGCACAGTTTCGCTCATAGCTGTATCCAAGAAATTTTCAATCTTCTTTCAATTTTCTCGGAAACGGAATCTCCGATGAAAAAGCTTTATTCTTTTTCTTTTCAACTCATTTTCTCACGTAGAATCATCTCCATATCATAATTCTTTTTCCTGCGCCTTGCATTTGAATTTCTCTGCTATAAATTTTATACTTTCAGCGTTAATACTGGCAAACTTTTACCAATTTTATTTTTCACTGGCCGGGTGAAACAGTTTCAAACATTCAATCACTGAGAATTTCGTAACCCGACAGCCACGCAGTAAAGAATCGTAAATTCCGGTCGCGGCTGCACCGTGACGCACAGCGTTCCGACGAAAAGAAATTTCCCGCGACAGTTCCGTGAACAATAGCAGCGACCGGCGAAAAGGATGTCGTGTTCGAATAACTCTCGTCGCTTTCACATTCGCGCGAGTTTTAACAGCCGACCGAAGTGTTCGTAAAACTCTCGCCTGTCCACGAGAAGCGGAGAACAAAAAGTCGAGCAACAAATCTGATTCTCTGAATTATAATTTATCGGTGAATTATGCCGAGGAAGCACAGAATTTTCTCCGAATCAACGTGATTTATTATCCCGAGGCAATTTAAGGGAAACACCAAAGAACGTTTTAATAAGAAACAAAACTCTCGACAGTTTCGTTCTTCTATATTGCGTTTCGTAATATATAGACTGACACAGAGACGTGACAGAACGGCAGAACGCTGATATCGGTAAACGCGAAGCAGGAAGTAACGTTACGTCGCTTCAGAGTGGAAACACTTTCCTTAAAACTTGAAGAAACAGCTCGAACGGACTCGGCTAATGAGAACGAGTCCGCGAACTCGAAAAGGCATTTCAACCAGCGAGGCAAGGAACTTTCGAGTCGTTCCACGATCAAAATTCGCTTCTGACGAATAGAGATTTACACCGAGGCGATTAAAAACTCTTAGAAACCCTGGATTTGATCAAGTTGAGTAAGATCAAAAGTAACCAGGGACGTTTTGACCAATACGATTCTGAATCTGACGTACTTTCGAGTCGTTCCACGATTAAAATTTGCTTCTGGCGAATAGAGATTTACACCGAGGCGATTAAAAACTCTTAAAAATTCTCGATTTGGTCAAGTTAAGTAAGCTCAAAAGTAACCAGAAACGTTTCGACTAATACGACTCTGAATCTGACGTACTTTCGAGTCGTTCCACGATTAAAATTCGCTTCTGACGAATAGAGATTTACACCGAGGCGATTAAAAACTCTTAAAAATTCTCGATTTGGTCAAGTTAAGTAAGCTCAAAAGTAACCAGAAACGTTTCGACTAATACGACTCTGAATCTGACGTACTTTCGAGTCGTTCCACGATTAAAATTCGCTTCTAGAGAATAGAGATTTACACGGAGGCGATTAAAACTCCTTAAAAATCGATTTGATCAAGTTGAATAACCTCAAAAGTAACCAGAGACGTTTCGACTAATACGACTCTGAATCTGACGTACTTTCGAGTCGTTCCACGATCAAAATTCGCTTCTGACGAATGGAGATTTACACCGAGGCGATTAAAAACTCTTAAAAACACTCGAGCAAGTTGAATAAGCTACCAAAAGTAACCAGAGACGTTTCGACACGACTCTGAATTTCAGCCTCATTTCGAATCGACACTGGGCATTTCTCGTTTCGATTCGCGACAAGAAGGTTCCGAAACCCCGAGGGATCAACGAAAGATCGACGGATATCTCGAGACGGAAACGATCGTGACAGCCGCGGACGCGGGGACGTTTTACGTAACGACGTTTCCGAGCGAGCGTTTCAGTCAATAACCCGACACGTCCGCGCGTCCACGTCCTCTGCCCCGTTATAGATTTTCCGCCGTAAATAGAGTGGACGGAAAAAAGCACGAGGAATCCCCGCGGCATTATTGATAACAGAGAATCGCCGCGGCAATGTCGGCATATATACCGCATAAAAGTTGCACACGATCACCGTCAAAGGTTCACCCAGCAGCTGACCGCAGCTGTGTGCACGCTACGACCACAGCCTTTAACGATAGCCCTCGTTTTCCCATCCGCATGAATATTGACGAACAGCTTAAAGGTTCTCAGATATCTGCGATTCGTCGCGTTCGAGGAGACGATGCAACGATGCAACGAGGCCTGAAGGCAGTCGGAAGCTTTTCCAATTGTAGGGCACGACGCATAGAGGTTCTCAAGCGAATTGACTCTGGCCAACTCATGAACATGGGGGTAGGTACCAAGGGGCCAGGTTAATCTCTTAACTGTAATGATGCCGCGCTTTTAGCACTGGAACTATGGACGACTAAAGCGTATAATATTCGCAGCAAAGTGCAAGGAAGAAGAAAAATATCGTTGATGATACGATAAGGAACGCAAGTTTCTGTTAATATTAAATTCTATTTTATTAAACGTCATTGGAGTAGCTAAAAATATGCTACTGTATGTAGATAAAATTTCCATGGGAAATTATGGAAATTATATGAAAATATAATATTTCTAGCAAAGAAATTAAAGTGCAAGGTACAAGAAAAAGTTAATAATACAATAAAGGGCGCTTCTAAAGTTTTTATTGATTTTATTAAAAATCACTCGAGTATCTAAAAATATGCTACTGTATGTATATAAAATTTCCATGGGAAATTATGGAAATTATATGAAAATATAATATTTCTAGCGAAGAAATTAAAGTGCAAGGTACAAGAAAAAGTTAATAATACAATAAAGGGCACTTCTAAAGTTTTTATTGATTTTATTAAAAATCACTCGAGTATCTAAAAATATGCTACTGTATGTATATAAGGTTTCCATGGAAAATTATGGAAATTATACCAAAATATAATATTTCTAGCGAAGAAATTAAAGTGCAAGGTATAAGAAAAAGTTAGTAGTACTATAAACACCTCGGAGGAGGAATTTAATTGTTTGTCCTTCTTAAAAGCGCGAACTTTTAGAAACCGTTTATCACTTTCGTAAAGTAACGTTTCGAAAATGCAACACAAAAGCATTCGTCTGCGCGCGAGAGCAAATAAATTGGTTATTTAACCAGCGAATTATCGCGACAAAACGAGTTTCTCCTTTTGCCTTTTTTTTTTGTTCTATCTGTCGAAAGTCTACAATTATCATGGTTTAATATCGAGTTTAATATTTAGCCGGAAGTGAGACCATTTTCTTGCGACTAATAATATTTTCTCCCGCGAAAATGCACGATAAGCAGATGGATTAGAAATCGAGGTGGAACTCGTTCTTCGAAAATACGATCGTTTAAAACGATCGAAGCGAAAGCGACAGAATTTCCCCGACGAGGCGACACGTGCCGCGTTTTTCTCAGCTCGAGCCAAACACCGCGTCGATCACGTAACACTCTTGTTACGAACACTCGGGGGATTCTCGCGATCAAGGAGAAAGAAAAACGACCGGATCTTCTCCTTTTTCTTCGCCGCGAGAAGATCACGAGAGATCTCGCGTCAACGCAGAATCCCGGATTTGCTTTAACGATTCTGTTTACTCGGTGATTCCGAGAGAACTCGATTAAATTTATTCGCGGACTTGCTAGGTTCAATTGTACGGGGTGCGTGAAAAATCCGCAAAACTTCCTGTTAAAATAAATTCCAAAATTTTGGTTATTATTTTATCTATGAATTTATGAACGCTATTCTGGCGCTCAACATTTGAAAACGTAACGAAGAAAATTACGTTCGAACTGAAATTTAATTTAAAATTGGCAAAATTAGATTTTTTCCTATATTTTGATGCTCTGTTAAAAAAAAAAAAAATACGTAATTATTTTTCTATTTATTTGCGAACGCTCTGGCGACCAACATTTGAAAGAAATAATTTTTAAAACGTAATGAAAAGAATCAAGTTTGAACTGAAATTTAATTTAAAATTGGTAAAATTAGATTTTTTCTTATATTTTGAAGTTTTATTAAAATAAAAATCCGTACTTTTTTAAATTATTTTTCTATTCATTTGCGAACGCTCCGGCGATCAACATTTGAAAGAAATAATTTTTAAAACGGAAATTTAATGAAAAGAATCATGTTTGAGCTGGAATTTAATTTAAAATTAGTAAAATTAGTTTTTTTCTTGTATTTCGATGTTTCGTTAAGAAAAGAAATAAACGAGAAGAAACTTTTGGCCCACCCAATGGAAGTTCTTTGAAAAAATGAAGATTCCAAAGTATTAACTTCCAAAGGTGTTTTTTAACGATCGTTAAGATCACGTAGGAAAAAGAAAATTTCGAGTCGCCGTTGTCTTAGCGATTCAAAAAAATAACAAAAAAGCTCTGTGCATCAATTGATTTTCAAAATTGCCCAATAAGTTTACGCACGTGTATGACCGATCGTTTAATTTGACGTGTCACTTTTACGGTTTCACAACAACCGCAATAAACGCGATAAATTATGCTCCGAGAGAACTGCATTTTACGTTCATCAATAATCATGATATTATTATTAGACAAGCACACGCGACTGATACTCGATGAATGAGAAAGTGTCTCCGTATC